ATCTGCGACGAACGCGCAAAGAGCTCCCGCACGCCGTAGTTGCCCCTGGCCACCGTGCCGACGATGCTCGAAAAGTCGCGCTCCATGCGGATGACGCCAAACGCGCTGGCCCGGCTCTTCCACGCCCGCTGCTCGAGGACCCTTGCGAGGTACCGCGCCGTGATGTCATGCACCGTCGTGAACGTGTGCGGCGTCATGAGCCGCGCGACGGGCTTCATGAGCTGGTCCCAGCCGTGCTCGAACCGGCGCGGCACCTGCTCGAGGACCTGCTCCTCGCTCTCGCCCACCTGCTCCGCGTACTCGGCGAGCTCGTCCTCCGTGAACGAATAGTCCGTGTCGCGGAACGTGTCGCTGAAGACGGGCCGCAGGCGGGGCTTGACGACCTGGTTGAAGAGCACCTGGAGGCCTTCGTTCATCAGTTCGGTCGTCTTGGCCGTGAAATTGGCGAGCAGCGTCTCGAGGCTGGATGCCACAAAGGTGGCGTCCCGCTCAAACGGAAAGGACTCTCGGAGGGAGCCCTCGCCTGTCGTCGTGCCGCCGGCGGCCTCAGAGCCGCCCGTCTTGCTGTGGATGATGCGCGTGAGGTACTCGTTGGCCGTGTCGAGACTGTTGATGAGCACGATGAACTGGATGATCTTGTCCTCTGGCGGGAAACCACCGGAGACGAGCGGCTTGGGGAACGACTCGTCGCGCATCTTGCGCTGGACCATGCCGACGAAATCGGCAGTGAGGACACGTTCGATGGCTGACACCACCGATGTGACCACGCCTCTTTGAAATGTGGAGACGGACTTTTGAAGCACGGCGCTGACAACGTACATGACGTCGTCCACCGCGGATATGATGTTGGGCGAATTCGTGTCGATCGGCTTGCTCAGGTTGAGGGACAGGCCCGCAGGTTGCTCGTCCAGCTGGAAGGCCTTCTCGACGGACCGCCGGAAGAAAAAGGTCATCATGGTATTGTAGGGCGTCGTCAGCTTGTCTGCCACTTTTCGGCTGAGGTTGGATTTCGTGAGCAAGTCGGGCATCACAAGGTCGGCTTCCTCGGGGGTTTCAGGGTCCTAGAAGTACAGTCAGTCATAGTCGTGGCCATTGACCCTTGCATCACACATAGACGTACCCTCGCCTTGCCAGCCAGGAAGCGGGCGTACAAGGACCATCGCCCGAGCATGACAGCAATCTCGCTGAGCACGCCGTCGACCTCCTTCATGTTGACGCCCTCATCCTCGCTCTGCCGCTGGTTCGTAGAGCCCAGGCCCGTCGCTGGCGAGTTGACCCGCGGCGTCCCGCCTCGTTGCGGTGGCAGGAAGCTCTGCACGAGGAACGAAAAGGGATAACTCTTGACATCCTTGATCCGCCGCACGACGTCCCGCTCGTCCGCCCACGAATCCAGAATGATGCCACCCTGGACATCGGCCTCCTGCTGCAGCCTCTCAATGACGCGTACCATCTTGCCCGACCCGTAGTGCCTCTCGACAAGTCCGCCGTGTCCGTCGACGATCCTCGCAATGTGGTCAAACAGCCTCGTCAGCGCGTTGGCGTAGAAGAACCCATCCCTCTTGGCCGACGACGCGCCCGGCCCCTCCTTCAACACGGACCGTGCCGTGCCGGCGACGCCCTGGCAGACGTAGCGGCCGTAGACGTCGAGGCCGACGTCGGTCCTGCCGATGAGAGGGAACAGCTTGAAGAAGCGCGTGACCTTGGCGCCGTCGCCCTCGGCGGCGGCCCTCTCAAACTCGCGGAGGAACAGGCCGCAGAGGCTGGCGCGGGCGTCCTCGAGCGTGACCCACGGCGCGTCGGGCACCTCGACGGTCGGCACAATCTCGGCGGCGAAGCGGCCGCGCGTGATGGCCTCGGGCACAAGGGCCGCGCGCGCGAGGTAGCCGGCGGCGGCCTCCCAGTCTTGCGGCGCGCCCATGCTGCCGACGACGCCGAGCACGCAGGCCCGCAGCTCGGCGACCTGCCGCACCACCTCGAGCGTCGCCTCGACGCGGCCCTTTTCGAGGTCGAGCGTCCGCACCCGGCGCGAGAGCCCGCCCGCCGTCTCGGCCGCCGACGCTAGCATCTTGTTGCCCACGCCGCGGGCGGCGATCACCTGCGCGCCGAGAGACGCCCGCAGCAGGTCGAGCCGGCCCAGCTCGCGGGCTAGGTCGGCCTGGGAGCCCAGGAGCGTGTGGAGGCGGGACGTGATGCTGGACTCGCGGGCGTGGAGGGTCGACAGGGCGGCGCGCACCTCGGCGGCTGTCGAGGCGGCATCTATGGAAGGCTGCGTCGTGCCGGTAGCGACAGTGGCGCCGGCGGCTGCTGCTGCTGCTGCTGCTGCTGGACCGTTGTGGTTCGGGAGGAGGGGAGTTGTCGGGATGCCATGGTTGTTGCTACTGTTGCTGACGCTGAAGCTGTTGAGGCGGGCAGGGGGCACGCCGTTCGTAGAGACGGACATTGGCGTGAGCGGGCTCGTACGTGCATAGCTTCTAGAGCTCGCCAGCCGTGTAGGAAGTTGTCGGGAAAGGATTGGGGCGCCGATATCTCGCTAGAGCTGAAGCATGGCGTTGAAGGTCGGAGGTGAACATATGACGAAGGGGGGGGGGACCCTTAGCTGGCCCGATGCCAGGTGGGCTGCTCGGTGTGGGGCCCCTCTCACCGGGGTCTAAGCGAGGGGCTCGGTGAGTGGACAAGGTTCAGATCGTGTCATTCGACAACCAGAAGAATACTGCCCACAGAGCCATGGTTGGTCCTTGGAGACAGGTTGTAACCAATGTACAGGTTGTATATATCTCATCTTACAAGGCCGTCAAGCACACTAGGCTACATTATCTACTATGCTGCTCTTACACCGCCTGGCTGTACCCGCCCCCTATCCTTCGCCGAGCGTACTTCCAATATTTCCTAAATTCATCTGCCCAGAACACCGTGCTGCAGAGCACAACGAGCCTCACCAAGTCAAAGAAGCCCAAGGCCTCCGTCTGGAACACCTCCTGCAGCCAAGGGAAATAGATGACGAGCAGTTGGCCCACGAGACTGAGCGCCACAGCCCAGTTGAAGAGCACGTTGGAGAACAGACCAATCTCGCCACGGAGAATCGACTTGGACTCGGAGCGGCACGACAGGGCGTTGAACATGTCGAAGAGGACAAAGCACGTAAACGTCATGGTCGTGTCGCGGCGCGAGACCTCGCCATCCGACAGCATCTCGTGGCGGTAGACGAGCATGGTGCCCGTCATGATGATAGCCGCTGAGGTCATGACGCGGGAGAGCACAGTACGGGTGAGGACGGCGTCGCCCCGTTTCCTCGGCGGACGGTTCATGACGTCCTTGTCAACCTTCTCGACACCGAGTGATTGCGCGGGAGGACCGTCCATGATGATGTCTGGCTGGGTTAGCGTGTTTTCTCTCCCGACAACGAAAAGAACGCCGACTCACTGATCCAAAGAATCTGCATCGCATTCAGAGGCGACGGGTGTCCCAGCAGGGTGCAGAAGAAGACGAGCGACAGACTGGCGGCACTCGTGCTCAACTGGAAGGTCAGGAAGTTTTGGATGTTGTTGAAGATGCCCTTGCCCTCCTCGATCGCTCGAAGGATCGTCGAGAAGTCGTCATCTGTGAGAATCATGTCCGCTGCTTCCTTGGCGACATCCGTACCATGCAGACCCATGGAAATGCCAATGTCGGCCTTCTTCAGCGCCGGCGCATCGTTGACGCCGTCGCCTGTCATGGCGACAATATCGCCGCGAGACTGGAACGCGCGGATAATCTTCAGCTTGTGATCGGGGTTTGTGCGGGCAAAGATGTTGGTGTGCTGCATGGCCTGCGCAAGCTCCTCCTCCGACATGGCCTCGATCTCGTCTCCCCTGAGGACGGGGCGCACGGTGGACTGGCTCGAGCCGTGTTCGACTGCGTGCGGAACCGGCATACCGAGCTGCCTGCCGATGGCAGCGGCCGTCGTCTCGGCGTCACCGGTGATCATGACGACCTTGACACCACCGCGCATCAGACGCCTGATCGACTTGCCAACACCAGGCCTGGGCGGGTCGCTCATGCCGACGAGCCCGGCAAACGTCAGTCCCTTGTAGTTGTCGTCGGAGCCAGCAAAGTACGAGCCGTTGGAGGCCGGCTTGTTCTTGTTTGACCTGACGGCACCACTGGCAAAGGCCAGAACTCGCAGACCGCGGGAAGCCATGTCCTCCGCGGCATCGAGTGCCTCCTTTCGGCGCGTAGAGTCGAGCACGACCTCCCGTCCGTCCCGCGTGAGATACGTGTCGCAAGCCTCGAGAACTCGGTCGATGGAGCCCTTCATGTACGAAAAGTCCTTGTCGTTCTTTCCTTCGCCTCCAATCGTGACGCCCATCCACTTTCTCTCCGAGCTGAAGGGAACCTCGCCGATGCGTGTACCAATCGACTCGCGCACATCGTGTTCCTTGAAACGATCAAGCAGATCCAGCATGGCCACATCCGTAGGCTGGCCGGTCCACCGGGTGTACGTGGAAGGGTTGTCGCCGCCTTGCGTAGAGGAGAGCACAGCCCGGGCAGCCGCACCATTTTCAGTGTACTGGCGGGCGAGACGGCCGTTGTTGGCAATGTTGCCAATGCGAAGAATGCGCAGCGTTGCGGCGTCGGGCTTTGTCTCGGTGGCCTCGTCATCCGAGTCAACATCAAAAGCCTCGATGGAGCCGAAACACCACATCTTAGTGATGGTCATGTGGTTCATAGTAAGAGTGCCTGATACAAGTCAGCATTCGACCAAGCCCTGGCCGGGGAACGGGAGGATGGCATACCTGTCTTATCGGTGCAAACAACGTTCACCGAACCCAGAGTCTCAACTTTTGGCATCTTGCGCACGATGGCGTGGTGTCCCGCCATGCGGTGCACGCCGAGGGCAAGGGTGACGGTCACAATGATGGGCAGTCCCTCGGGAATGGCTGCGACAGCCAGCGAGATGGAGATTTGGAAGATCTCAAGCAACTTCTTTCCCTGCAGCCAGCCCACGAACGAGATCATGCCAATAATGACAAAGGACACCTTACTGAGCTGCGAGCCCAGGTCGTCCATCGACAGCTGCAGAGGCGAACGGGGGCTTTCCGTCCCGGACACACTCGTCGCGATGGTACCAAAGTGTGTGTTGCCGCCTGTCGCGAACACGATGCCCTGGCCGTAGCCCGATTTGACGAGAGTGCCCATGTACGCGACATTGTGCTGGCCATCATCCCCGCCGTCCCTGTTCGACGAGACGGCCGACCCAGCGGGGCTCGGCGGTTCGAGCTTGTTGCTGCCGCCGAGGTGTGTCGTCGGTGTAGGGCGTGTGCGGGCGTTGGCTGTGACCCTTACCGGCTCGTTCTCGCCAGTGAGGTTGGAGGCGTCAATGGTCAGATCAGCAGCCTTGGTCACGCGGATATCGGCGGGGATGCGATCACCCGTAGTGAAGAGGACCAGGTCGCCGGGGACGAGCTGCGCAGCCATGACCTTGGAAGAAGCCACCTCCAATGCCTCCTCGATCGCCGTGGCCGTATCGGTGGGCGCTCCCTCGACTTTGGCGTTCGTGGAACCAACGGGCCAGGAGCCGGACGAAGGCCCCTTTTGCTCGCCGCGGATGAGGTGGGCGTGGTTGGGGACGAGACCGCTGAGGGCCTCGATCGACTTTTCAGACCGATACTCCTGTACGAAACCGACGGTGACCACAATGGTGACGGCAACGGTGATGCTGACGGCGTCATCAGTGTTGCCGAGGAAAATCGAAGCGCCAGCCGAGACGAGAAGCAGGACGATCAGCGGCTCCTGAAACTGCTTGACGAAGCGCAGCCATAATGGTTCGGGCGCATCGTGAGGAATCTCGTTCGGCCCGTAGTCGTGGAGGCGACCTGAGGCGGACGCCGGCGCCAGGCCATGTGTGAGGGAGGTCTGCAGTCGAGAGGCAGTTTCGGCCGGGGTCATGAACGAGTACTGTTCGGCAACGCTCTATGATCGATCTCGCTGTTAGCTACGTTCACGGCTCGGCAGTGCGGGCGTGCGGCTCTCACTCTTGACTGCGCAGACGTGGTGCGGTTGTAGGCTGGTCGCGCCGGGGCTTCCTTCTCGAAGCCGCCATCGTGGGACGCCCCGGTAATCTTGGGCGTGTAGTTGGACGTGGGCAGCAGCGAGTCGTTCTTCTTGAGGCTGCCCTGGTCATCGCCGTCGCCTCGCCATGGCCACTGCATCGCGTCGTGGTCCGGGACTCGGGAAGGGGCTACCTGTTGTGACCAGCAGACCTCATGGAGGATGACCAGGTTAAGGGGGACTCCAATGGTAAATGCGCTATGCGTTATCGCTGTCGAGGGCTACCGAGTCGGGAAGCTCGGGGGATGGTTGGCTCGTCTCGACAAGTTTCGATAGGTAGGTAGATCAGCTGGTTGATTTCGAAGCCCGTGACATGTCTGACTTGAGAGTGATCAGATTGCGCTTCAAGGAGACGGAGGAAAGATGGCCGTTTGGACCAGGTAGCAGGAATTGGATGGGTGAATCCGATCGGAGACCTGGGCAAGATTAAAGATCAACGTGTTACAGCGCTGGGACCATTGGGGGGGCCGCTGGGGGCCAGGTGGTGGAGCTCGTCGGCCAGGGTCTGGGTACTTGGTACTTTAACGTTATTAGCTCTCGAGGCCCAGCCTTGGGGGCGACGTGGACGAGGGACGCCAGGTGCCAGGTGAGCTTGGTGAGCTTGATTGGCCCCGACCTGGCCTTGCTGTCCGTTTCGGCCACTAGCAATCGCTTCCGACAGCGGGACCGTTGAATCCCTTGGCTCCACTAGGGCGAGCCTAGGTACTCAGGGGGCCTTTCCAGTGGGGATCCAATTCCGAGGCTGACTGGCGAAGGAGCTCAGACTGACTGATGTTGCTTTGCGATCACTTCACGATCCTCGGGTACCAGATCCGATGTCCAATGATCTGCATAGTGGGAAAGGCAGCATTCATCTCCATCTGTCTCATACAAGCTTGGAATCTGGGATGGCGTCGCTTGGTTGGGTGGGAACCTGGTTGATGCGGCCAACTCACCTGCTGAGTTTTGATGGTCATGTGATTGACTCACGAATTCTGTAGATATCGAACTTGGACATTACTCTTTACAAAATCTCCGAATTCGAGCCTAACACAATTTTCCTGGGGTTCTTCCCTAGGACTTTTCACCATGGCAATGACAAGTTCAGTATCTGAGCCTGACAGTGAGCCGCAGTTCTGGCAGGATTGCCTAAAAAGCCGTGCTGGTATTTTAAACGTGTTCTGTGTTAAACAAATACCCAAAATCACGGACTCAAGAAAGGATGTGCATATTGCCTTCAAGCAACGTCAGTTACTCACGGCCTTCCTCGCAGCGTCCAACGCCGCCTCGAGCGTCTTCACCAGATCCCCCGCCGCCTCCAAGCCCGCCGAGATCCTGACACTCTCCTGCAGCAGACCATATCTTCGATGATACTCTGCATCCTCCGGATTCCTGTTAAACACGAGCTCCACATAGCACAGCGCCAGCGTCTTCGGCGCTCCAAGATGCGGGCCGTGATAGAACTGCAGCGCCTCATAGAAAGCCTTGGCGGCCACGGTGTTCGTAAAGTCCACTGTGAGGAGACATCCGCCTCCCGGCTCAGGCAGCTCCTCCGTCGGCCGGCGCAAGAATGACGCAAAGATATTGTAGTCGGCCATCTGCGTCGGATACCGCACGCGAAGAATCGGCGAGGACGGGTCGAGATCCCGCGTCTGTGCCGCGAGATACGCGGCCATGGTTCCCGCATTGGTATTGTGCACAGCCGTCCGCTCAAGATAGGAGCCCGAGTTGGAGAGCAGCACCGCAGCGTCACCACAAAAGACTTCGTTGTGGAAGTGCGTGTCCCAGAGCTTCCTCAGCTCGGCGTGCCGCGGTGCCAGGGGGTTCAGTGCCGCCGAGCCCCCCATGACGTTCGCGTAGCCGGAAAAGGTCTTTGCAAGGCTTGTGACGATCAGATCGCAGTAAGGAAGAACATCAATGTTGGCAAAGGACCCGACTGTCTCGTCAATCACGAAGAAGAAACCGAACTTCCGCGACAAGGCCTGGATGCGGCGCAGGTCGACGCTGGCGAGGAGGGGGTTGGAGGGAAACTCGACGAGGACGTACGTCACGTCCCGGCCCTGAGCAGCCTCCTCCTTCAGCCAAGATTCGAACACGTCGAGGCCAGCGGAGTCTACAGGACCGAAGTGCTTGTAGCCGTGTGGCGAGGTCTCCAAAAGCAACTGAATCGTGCTGGGAAAGGTAATGCCAAGAATGACGACGGTGCCGGGGCGGTGTGCGACTAACTGACTGTGCGTTGTGTAGATGGCAGCCATTCCTGTTGGGTAGAGGTAAATATCGTCGGGAGTGACCCTGATCTTCTCAGGGTCGACGGAAGCCCTGTGAAGGAGCCCAGAGATCCGCTCCCTCAATTTCGCGTGATCTGCTGTTTCGGGGAGGAACGTTCCTTGCGGAGGAGCTTCTGTAGTGGACGCCGACTTGACTAGTGTGAATGTGTCGATTTGTGAGAGAAGATATTCCGACAAGCGGATGGACAGTCCTATGCCAGGATTCATCCAGGCACCAATGACACCAGATGTCTTTGCCGCAGGAAATGCAACGACGTACAGCCGGATGCCAGCCACGTCGACAACATGAAGCTGCAGTTCTTCCAGCGAGACGATGGGCTCACGACGGTGAGGACTGGTCACATGCTTGGCAATCATTTGGAAGACACCGGGGTCAGTGAAAGCCAACAGCGACAGACCCTCGGCAAGGTGTAGCTTCCCAGCGAGAGCCCCGAACAACTAGCAGCACCCATAGTCAGTATACGCCTTGTATGATGGGAGGCTGTGATCCACTTACGAGCTTGACATCCTGGAATGGACCGAAGCGTGGATAAATGTGTACAATCTGTGACATGACGCCCTTGTCTCCCTCCCGCAACTTGACCGCATTGTCCCATCCCCGCAAGTTCGTTGTAATGGCGTACTTTGACTCCGGGGGCACGCATCGGCCAAACACGCCCTCCGCAACGAGGGCAGTCATCCTGACGGCTAAAGAGCTATCTGCGCAGTGGAGAATAAAAAACTGTCTTCTTAGCTACTGGCTGTATGCTGATTCTCGCTGATCACCTAGCCTCAGAGGCAGCAAAAGCAAGCACGAGCAGTGTGGGCAGTTCGAGTGCGGCTCCTCCGGCAGCTGAGACAATGGGGTTTAGCCCGTACTTATGCATCTGCAGCTGGGACCCCAAGGAATAGCCAATTCACGCAGTGGTGTGATTCTTGGCTGGCTCTCAGCTTTGTCTAATGCAAGTTGATTGCTGAACGATATGTCGGAGTTGTCTAGGGCTGACAGCAGCTGACCTCGGAGCTAGCAGGAAGCTTCGTCCAGCCGAGCGAACCCCAACTTTCTGAGGTAGGCGCCGTCGCCTCACTGAGCTCGGCATTGAGAAGCCGCGATCGAGACTAGGGCGGACTGACACAGGACGAACGCTGGAAAGGATCTATACTCTCACTCCCTTACTATGAACAATGCGCTGCTGTATCTGTAATTGGATCCAAAAGAAAAAAAAGCGCAAAATACAATCCTCAGACCCAAATACACCCTCTCTCCACAGACGTGGTGGCCTCGCGTCACCAATCACTCAACACCATACACAAGTCGTTATTACACACCTAGTTGCTCACCAAACCTCACGCTCCCGACCCTCGAATGCAAAGTTCAGGCACACAGCCACGAAAAGAGCTCCACAGAGGACGCTTGGCCCCCAGCGATCGTAGAACTTAATGTTGCGTCTGTTGCGAATGGCGCTACTGCGGTACAGGTAGATAGCGACCGAGTAACAGAGCGAGAGGATAGCAAGCAGGGTGAAGACGCCAGCCACGATGAACGACGCGCTTGTAGGGCTTGTGCCGAAGTTCATCAGCGTCACGGCTACGGTGCCCACGTAAATGGAATACTCAAGCTGTGGAATGGTAAGCATTTTTCTTTGTGAGCTCGGCCGAACAGACTTACCCAACCCAAGAACGTCCTCTCAGCCGCGAAGTACACCTTTGGCTCCACACGCACGGGAACGTAGATCTTTTTTCCCTTGGGTGCCTTGAATTTCTTCGTCTGGATCTCACCACTTCCGAAGAGGGTAGTCTGCACCTCTCTCCTGGGGATCACTGAACCGCGGGGGTGGGGGATCACCCACTTGAGGACTTCGAGCGCCTCGTGGCCAAAGGCTGCGCCCTTCGTCTTCGCCAGCGTTGAGTAGTAGATCCAGCCGCCGACCCTCCTAGCCTCCTCGAGGGCCTCATTCGGGTCGTACTCCTCATCCGAGTCGTAGATGTAGTCTGCGTCAACAGCAGCGACACCATCAGCCGTCTGGTCTTCAATGTCGACGCCGGCGCCGTTGTCAGCACCCGCCCTGCTTGACTCTCCATTGCCCCCTGCGCTGACCTGCTTATTGCGCGCGGCTGGTGCACGGAGCTCCTCGTCATCTGAATCAAATTCGTCTTCCTCGTCGTCTTCGTCAGAAGTTGTCGTGTTCGCAGAATGACCTCCACGGTGAATGCCAAAGTCATGTGTTATAGGTTTCCTGATGTCAACGTCCATCTGAGGCATCCAGAAGGGCAGCAGATCGATCCTTTCGGGAAACAGGCATGCCACACCGTGGATGAACTTGGAGAACTTGGGCACCGCCTCCACCAGGTGGCTTGAAATCAGCTGACGCACCCACTCGGGAGGCTCTTGACCCATTTGCGTCTGGAGTTTGACCTCAAGGACAGCGTAGGGGAAGCGGACAATGTCCTTGGGCGGCAGCTGAGAGAACGGCCAGTCGATACCGATGTCCATCCGCCTCCAGTTGTCACCAGAACGCTGCTCGCCATCCAGATTGTCCTCGCGAACCATGGTAAGCTCGGTGTCGAGAGAAATTCGCACGCGCGCGTCGGCAGGAAGCTGGAAGGCAGTTCTGTTGTAGAATGACCGACACACAGGCTTGTAACCCTTCTTGAGGCACGAGTACTGAACTTCGGCCGCCAGTCTTTGGTCTTCGTCAATCTGCTTTGTGGGCTTCTTGCCCTCCTTCCTCGCCTTCTCGAAGATAGCCGCGGGGAGGAGCTCGCCTCGCATGTATGCGTTGACGTTCTTCTCCTTGACAGAGAAACGAGCCTTGACTGACTTCTCGCCGGTCCAATCCTCGCGATGGGTTTTGCGCTCGACGAAAATGTTTTCGCTTTGCATTCCGCCGTACCACCGCAAACGGATGGCCTCGGCACCCTCCGTCTTCTTCAAACGACCTTCGTACAGGTCCCACTTGTCGGGGTTGTCGTAGTAGATGGAGGTATAGCAGAGTCTTGTGTATCGACTCCTTGCTGCGTGAGACGAGCACGGGCAGTGCTTGAGATGATGAGCTCAGCTCAGTGACGT